ACAAATGCATACCACGGGGTAGGGGGGCACAGATCTCTCCATAGTCAATCAGTACCACATTATTATATTGACCCCAGAAAGGGATTTTATATTGATTAGGGTTATTGAATGTGATTGAATAATCGTGATATTCATACAAGAGTATAGCTGTTGTAATTCAATTATTTTTTATTATCATTGACATAAATTGTTTCTAATTAATTTGTTCTTCTTCTTGGCATTCCATTATGACAAAATAGGCCAGCCAAATCCTCTCGATTGTTTTTATTCGTCAACATAAAACACATTTCTTTAGCTATTCACACACGGCCATGGTTTTCATATCCACTTAAGTCCCAAAGTTGTTTTTTCACTGAACGACTACTCCTCTCATGTCTTTGGTGTCATTAAATTTAGATAAATAAATTGTAGTGCACGTTGCTAAGGTGTGAAAATCTAGTTATATTCAAACAGATCATGTGAACCTCATCACATAATCATAAAAACCCATGATGACGATCACCGTAACTTTAATATTATTAAGTAATAGCTTTGGATATACATATTTTTTCTTAATAGCTCAGCATGCCCTACGGTGACGGTCTCTCGATGACTCAATATGGAAATGTTCTTGTGTCGAATTTTATATACTTATAACTTACATGTTTTTTTTTAGTCACGAACATTGTAATTTGTCTAAAGTGCACTTGGATATTATTATACAACTATAAAAACTGAAGCTGCAACTATATTCCCTGTAAACAATATCTTGCCAAGTGAAGTGTAACCTAGAAAATAATCCAAATGTTTTCACACAACGTTTAAACGACCGGAAATTCGGATAGCACAATAAAAATAGCGAATTATTAGTGTGATTGAATAGTCTACTAAAAACTTACAGGCCAAGCTGGTCAAAATCTGTACTTACATGATCACGGAACTATTTCCTACCGTCTTGCTAATTTGTTAGTTTTTTTTTTTTTGGCATAATACAATTTATCAAATTATTATAAAACAAACGTAGTTTATTATTTACTACACGAATTCTGCAATAAAATATTGAACTATGGTATTATATTTAGTTATTTTACGTCAATTGAATCTTATTGTATAATTTCTATTAAGGTTTTTAAGGTTTACTTTCCCCAATTTTCATAAAATTACAACATTTTCAGTTTCTATACATTTTATATCATATTATACACTCTAAATTCTAAAAAACCGGAATTATTTTATTTCAAATTAGGCTGTATAGGACATTACATTTGACGAAGATAGAACATAATTAAATAAACTGTTAACACATATTTTTGAAAAGTGAGGGGATGGACCTATTTGTTGTAAAAAAAACAAAAGACTAGATAGAGATCGACTTTATAGACCGTTTTTACAGGAACGAATCGAAACCTTCAGCTTAACGATATCGTTCAGTTCGCTTAATGAACGCCAAGTGCTGTTTGTCCTTCGACAGATTACGCATGGTATTATTTTTTTCCCGTCATAATAAACCAACGATTCCTCATTAAATTACATACGCACACATATTTACCATAAAATACGTGAACTGGCAGCCAGTATCGCAAACTCCATAATAATATATGTGATTGGTGGCTGCTTCCTTGTCGTTTACGCCGTTAGTACAACTTAAGTTTGCTCACTTGTCAGTGCCTGTACTGAGAACGCGTTTAAAATACACAGTATAATAAGTATTGCAAGTGCCGTCACACCTGACCTCAATTCAAGGTCATTAATGGGATCCCAGTCCAGCAGCGATACCCGTTCAAAGGATTTTCGTCCATACAAAAGCAGTACCCACACAAAACGATTTTTATAACGTTTTTATGAACTCACAATCTCGTTTGTCGTTCCGGGTGGAATCTTGCAACTCAAATGTCGAGCACTTCCCGGTTAGCTATCCGGCTGAAACTTTTAGGGTAGCTCACAATTCGATGGCAATGCATTGTTAATCCACAAGAGGTTGAAAATTCCACCCCTAAGGGGGTTAAAATAATGTCGATTTCTAATCCGTTCGGCTAGAGAGGCAGCATTATAAGAGACAACTTAATGCATTAGCATGAAAGCTTAGATTTTAATATCTAAGTAGAAAGATGCGCCCCACGTTTTTCTAGTTCACCTGTCCTATTTGGTTATCAAGACCCCCGGAGGGTTATTTTATATTTTTAAAGACGCATAAAAACGTTATTTTTAGATTAATTTTTTAATCTACTTTATTTATTCTGCATTCAGCTACTGCATCTTAAATGGTTCCCTGTCTACTCATCGACTTCCAAAACGTTTTCCTTTTGTCGCGGCTTTTTGAATTTTGATGTTCAATTAAAAGAAAACTATTTGCGATGTCGTTGATAGTTGATACAAACGTGACATCGTATGTTCATTCGTTTTAATTTAATAATAACATTAAACGTTTATCTTGTTATTGTATTCCCGAGGTTTTGACGAATATGAATTGTTTGTTTTATAAGAAATTTAATAAGTATTAGAATAATAATTTCTTCGTTTTTATTCCCCTTTGCATACCTTTTATGGGTAGAAGTTCTTTTAATATTTCCATTATATTCAATACGACGTCGGTAAACAGATTCGCAATGACTCTTATATGCCCTACAATTTATTACGGGCGAATGTAAATTTATTACAAGTGTCTATTACCATATGGCTTATACCCATTTATTGTATACAAATGAGAACATGAATTTTGTTATACGCTCGAGAGCGAGTGATTACGTGATTTATTCCTTCTGGATTTAACTATGCTTGTACCATATTTGAGGGAAATCTCAAAACGACGTTGGCTTATACTTCAATATGAATATGACTATATGCAGACTTACAGTAGTGTTCTGTGTTTGTAATATTATTAGTACGACAATCAACATATACACGCATCATAGGCGTGTGCACATTATTCACATAGTAAACCTACATGTAGAGTACGTAGCTAAATAGCTTACGAGTTACGACTTGAGAAAGAAATCCAAAAGGGAGCTATAACTTATAGGGAAAATAGGGAATTAGCTTAACATGTTTAAATGTTTCTAAAGTTGTAGACGGGAAATTGTTAGGGAAACTACACATTTAAGTGGGGCATACATACCTTCATGTTCCAACCTCTTATTGTCCAAATTGCATTCGTCTCTTGGTCAGTTGTTAAAAAACGACAACCTATTGTTAGGGGCCCATTTAATTTTTTGACAAAACCTTGTACGCCTATTACATAAAATACTTCTTATTTAGTTAGTAGTTGTATTTATATCGTGTTCTTGTACCGAAATATATAAAAAAAATCTAATACTTCATAACATGTGATTTCAAAGCTCTGAATTAACATTTTTTTTTAAAACAAGTAGTAATCTTGTAGAGGAATAGTAAGGTGATATTTCTCAATACACACTCATGAAATTGACTTCATAGCATACAGACACCTTAAACCAAATGCTATATAATTGAAAAAAAAATCTATACATCACATGCATTATTACTGTAAAACTGGACATTACAAATTAATTAGACGAAAGAAAAATTAAATATTAATTAAATTCCCCTAAGATCGACTTTCTGATCACTGCGTGTGTATGGGGAAAAACTAAAAAGCGAGGATGCTAAAAAAGTTCCTGGCAAAAATCTCTTGAATTTTTATAATTTATAATTACCCGTAAAATAAAATGCTTTTTTTTATTCTAACAATCATTCTAGAGACATAGGAAAAATAAATGTAAATCAAATAGTTTTTTGACTGAGTTAGGCTCTCCGGTACACTACCAGAATAAAATTAAAATTATTTTCTGAATAGTATACGTGACAAATAAAACCATTAAACAGTGGTGGCATCCCCATTTATTAAGGAGTAAACTGTAAAGTATAGGTATTTTTCGTAAAATTTGAATTTATAACTTTAACTATAGTGTTTCACTATATCTATCATGCGCGTGATTTCCAGTCACGCTTTAATAAAGTGTGACTTAGGTAAACTTTTCACGTTAGTTACACAACTATATTATGTGACTGGGGTAAAATTTTACCCCGCGCGCGTTACCAAGGGTTACAGTATTGACTATTGAGGATTATTTATTGGTTGATCATTTCTATACAAATAATTAGAATTTTGTTTGTTGTCAAAACTGCTTTGCATGGGGCAAACTTGCGAGGACAGTTTCCCCAATAGATTTACCAAATTTTTAAAATACACAGAAGTAGAACTTTATTACTGTCAACTGTGCCATAGCGTTTTCATTTTTTAATTAATAGTAACTAGTTTCTAATAAACAAATAAAAGAAAGAAAACAATTATTCTTTACGAATAATAAATTTGATTCCTTTTAAGATAACAAACAAATATTAACGCTACGGTACAAGTAAAATTCTTGACTGTGTAACTGTAAACATTTTTAAATTCTACGAGTATTATAGCCAAAACATGGATGGTGAGGTTTCCTCTTAAAGAATTAAATCCTAACTCATTAAAAAAAAACCTTCTCGCAGCTCCCATCAAACCGTACTACTTTTCTGAAAGCTCTTGGTTTGTGTATAAAATTGTTAAATTTAAAAAACAGTAAATCGTTAGTTTATTTAAAATATGGAAAGCTAGATAAGAAAAATTACTTAACCAACTTTCATTTCTAGTAAAGAGGCTACATAGTACATATTTATATAAATTTGTCAGCACTGTTGTATAGCCCATGCTGTATACTTTACTGTAGCCTGTCGATTAATCCTTGAAAATGTTCACTTATTGATGGTGTTTTAAAAATTGTAAAAAATAAAAATACATTTTTTGTACATGACACATATTAGTTTTTAGCTAGGCTAGGTATTATTTACCCTAATGATAAAAATTATACATAATACATGTATATATATTTAACTATATTCAAATTAGTTCTTTGATTTTCGATGGCATACAATAACACATTGTTAAAAAATACACAATATATTTTATTACAATTTAACAGTTTTCATATAGTATATTATTATTTATTACACCTACTTCTTCTTTAAATATAATATTCCAACATACAGTAAGTTATTTTTTAAAATTTATTTAAAATTTTACACACGCTTATAGGAAATGATAAATTGCATATTAGTAATTTATGCATTATGTAGAATTGGAAAAAATTAATCTGAACGGGTTATAAGTAATCAACAGTTTAAGATACTCATAGTATCAAATGGTTGGCCAATAGTTATAGTTTATTACCTAAATGATGAACAAAAACAACTTGATATCATTTTATTTTAAACGTTATTCACAATTTATTTAGTACTGAAAAAATGATATAAATTTATCTATCATGAATCGTCTCAATTACTTTTAGTTTAACTGAAGATTCTCTTGCAATTGTTGAAAACAAATTGTATTGTCAATATGTTATTATTATTATAGAAATTTAGTATATTGTGCCTTTTAATAATTTCTAGTAACATTGTGTTTAAAATTAGCTTGACGTTTTAGGTAAAACGGAACATGGTAATATAATAAACATTGTCTTACTATTTTTTTTAGAGTGACTTGCAGCATATTTTCTTCAAATTATTTATTAGTTTTTTGTAAATTGGTTTTCTTTTAAAACTAAAAAGATACACAGGATAAATGTGTTATTTCAATAATACAAAAAAAAATATATAGATTATGTATGATTCATCAAGTCGCAGCATATTTGTAACACTTAACTGAGATCTTAATAGTATTATAGTAATAAAAAAAAAAATATATATATATATATATATATATCAATGTATACACAGACTTAATTATTATTGTAATCATAAATTAAAAAATACAATACATTATATAGAGGCTATTGTTTTATAATCTAGTCACTGAAAATGGGACAGGTGAACACTGTTTCTGACTTAATACATTTTAAAGCGCAATTACATTTGCTATGGTACCTAGTCCACAATGGGACTTAATATATAAATTATGTTAGTACAAAAAGTTATATTCAATATAAATTTAAATAAATGGGTATCAGTCAATAAAATAGTATCGTTTATTCTCCTTTTTTTCTTAACTATTATAATTTATTACTTCTACTAGCTACTTCTAAGACTCCTTAATTTATGATTTTTAATGCAAAAAAGTTATACTTAATCGACATAATGGTGTATGTATACCGGGTACCATAGCGACAACTATCTTAATAATAAATTATATAGGTGGGCTGTTGTTCATTTAACATTGATTGAAAGTAATTTAACATGTTTCAATGTAACATTTGAGATAATACTTTTTCATTTTACACGAGTAATAATAGTATATCCAAATAAAATGTTATCTAATTGAGCAAAATTAAAAAAAAAAATGAATAAAAGAATATATTATATTGAAAATTACACGCTGGTAATAAAATAAACACAAAAAGTCAATTTTTCTCTTACAAAATTAGGCCTAATATTATTAGGTAACCTAGTTTTGTACAACTGATATCTTTTTTATCATTTTGATATACATTTTTGTTTGTCATTGCTTATTATTAAAATTTATATTTTATACAAATTGGTCTTACAAAATATATGTATTTATTTTTATCATTAAATCTTTCATTTTAAAATTCTGTACAAAAATGTACAATTTTTTAAACTACAATAATTAGAAAAAATAGATTATTTCTATATCTAGTAAGTAGACTACAATCTAAAAAAACTAAATATAACGTGGGATTAGTTTTGAATAAAGAAAATTTTTAGTTTGCATATTAAATATTATTATCGTAAAAATACAAAAAAATATTACTACACTAAAAAAATACAATTCAACAGTCTTAAGTCATAATATAAATAAAAAGAAAAAAATATAAATTCATATTTGATTAATATTATTTATTACTATTATAATATTGCTTTGATGGATATAATATTATATTATGGGAATTATGTGTTCATTTTTGGAACAAAGACTTTTTCTCTTATTTTTAATAATGATTAATAACATTGTTATCAATTTTGCCCTTATGCAGGGCGTCAGTTTAAGAAAAATATTTTTTTTAATCACACGTTACTTAAAAAAAAACACTCACGCAAAAACACGCAAAAAGTAATTTCAAAAAAAAAAATAATAACAATAATAATAATAATAATAAAAAAAATAGATTCAGATTGCACAAATACAAAGGGGTAACATACACATAATATGTATACTTAAATGTAAATTGTACAAGCATACGTAAAAAAAAAAAAAATATTAATAATAAAACTCATTCAATACATAGCAATGAAGAATACAAACTACATACATGTATATTATTACACAAAAGTATAATGATGCACTATAATACTAAAAAACTAAAATAAAATCGGAGACCAGTTTTTTGTTTTGTATAAATAAAAAACGGTTGTAGTTACATGAGCGAATACGTAATGTAGTTTGCACATACTTTTGGTAATTGTACAAAATACAATACAGAATCGGTTTTTTTCCATTATGTAAAACTAAAACTGATAGGAAATTATAAAAGTACCAAACAAACTTAACATTACTCATAAAAGTAGTTATTTGAAAAAAAAATATTTATGAAAAAAATCATAATAAATACAAGTTTTGTTAGAATAAAAACTTAGATGACATTGCTCGAGTTTGTTTGATCCAATCACAGTCAACAATTATTAAATAAAATAATTACAAATAAAAATAATAATCATTAGTGTTTAAATTTCTAGAAATAATTATTATATTTGGTCATACCCATTATACTTAGAATAAAAAAAAAAAGAGAATAGTGTGGATATTTTCCCCCTATACGGCTTACAATTGGTTGTCATGGAAAATGTTTATTTACAGGTAAAATGAGTCATCTGTAAAAATATGTATATGTATCATACTCAGATGGTAACTCAACAGGTTACCTGAATTAAAAATGGGTAAAGTAAATGTAGACACAAATAGATCAAATTAAAAAGAAGTTCATAGGTTGTTGTTTCTTTTATACATAAATATATATATATATATTAGGTAACTTCACCGATGACTTCAGTTAAGCGCGGTGTCTTATACTTTGTCTAACCGAGTAATATGTATGAATACACTTCATCTGCGGAAAGGCGTCACCGCGCTGTGTCCTAGTCACCCGAAGCGCTCCTTGACCAGGAACATAAGTTTCTTTTTGCCTTTGTATGCCAGCTTCATGTTGTCCAGCAACTGTGCAAATTGTGCATGGCCATCATGAGCCAATAGAAAAGTGTCCCTTGCCTTGCCTAAGAACTCGATGAAGTCAGCGTAGTGTCGAGGGGATATGTGTGTTAGCCTTGAATGGGTGGTGTTAACGTAAGCCGCAACGGCCGCTTCCAACAGTATACGCAATGGGGCGCGTTCATAGGATAGACCTTTCATCATGCTACAACGAGAAGAACTGTTACCATTGTTGCGATGGTGATGGTGGTGATGATGGTGATGATGGTGGTGGTGGTGATGTTTACCTGAAAAAAAAATCCCACGTTATCTATAACATCCATTGCCACTATTAAGGTAAGCCTTGTCGTTTCTAATCATGTGAGTCAAAGCAGAGATGCACATTGATACAATAAGTAAATAAGGCAGGGCAAGTCATTTAAATATAATAATTTTGTTAAGTGAAATATTATTAGTTAAGTTAAAGTTTAAGAGGACGATACACTCCCTATTTGTTAAGGAGATTGTAATGGCTTTTTTTAGGAAATATTAATTAGTTGTTAATTATTTCATCAAACCATTACAGGCATATAAATTAAAGTCTTTAAATCTTTAAAAGAATAGATTGAATTTTTAACAACACGGCATAACATGTTTTTTAATCTCATCTTAACTTTTTTAATACGGGATGGGTAAGCCGGTAAGTAATTCTGACTGATCAACCAATAGGGTTGTACTTACTGTCGGGTGGCGGCAAGGTGTGAGCACAAGTCATTCCCGGAGGAGTCATTGAACAACGACGCAAAATGTCTGATAATACGGTGGCACACTGAACGTTCTTAACCAGCAATGGTATCATGGTGGCAAGTTCATTTTTGCCCAACGAGTGGCTGAGTGCGCAAGCCCAGTGTATATCATTGATGGCCGGATGGGTGTCCTGTATTGGAATCACAAAAAATACTTTAAGTTAGGCAAAAGAAAGAGGTACTATAACCAAATGTGTTGTAAACAAATTCGGTAGTTTTCTGACCTGATTGTATGCTAAATGGACGTTTTTCATAGCCAACATTGCAAGTTTGTATGCTCTGTTAGGGTACCCGCGGTGTTCCATGTATCTGGCTATGGTGAACAGTTGAGAGGAAGTCATTATGTGAGAAGCGGCATCCAACACGATTTGATAAGCCGCTTCAAACGCAGTTGCGTCATTCTCACACAATGTCAACGCGTTCAGAGCACAGTTAGGAGGGTCCTGAGAAAACGAAAAACAAAATACTACATTAGAATACAACGGCCGTATAAAGCAACATTATTCAAAGACCTCATTTAACCGTTAACAGTAAAGTTTTGTCAAAGTAAAAGGGTTACACTTTTTCCTCTTAAACTCAGGGCCGGACTTAGAGGGGGTGTGGGGGGGATGACACTCCACCAGAGATATTCTCGATATAATTGATTTTGAAGAAAGAACAAGGAAATAGTCCGCATTAAAAAAAACGCCATATTAAAGTTTAACTTTTAAAGGTTTTTTTATTATCTAAATTTGTTTGTATTATTAATACTTAAAAAAATAATAATTCAAAGTTAAAAAAAAAATAATTTTCAACAATTATTAATTCCCATTAATTTTAGCAAAAAATTGTGACTTGTGTTGTAAAATGTCATAAAATATTTAAGAAAGTACCCAAATATTTTAGTCGGCAATTAAAATTTTAAAATCGGCATCTTCATTTTGACACCCCCCCTTGCATATTTCTTAGCACCGGCCCTGCTTAAACTACTTTATAATGTACATACATAGTGTATCTATATAGTACAACTATTATTGTTCTTACTTTAGAAGCGCACTGAAGAGCCAATGTACGAGCGTAGCTAGATAACTGTTCTTGTTGTTCAAATGATAAATTCAACCGCATCATAGTGCTGTGAGACATGATGGTCGTGGCAACGGGTCCTGGGACATTTAATCAAGAACATATTAGCCTTAATAAGCATTATTCGCGTATCGAGAAAAGTCTCATTTTACCTGTAGCTTCCGTGGGCGTAAACAGTTGGAACCAATTTTGCATGACCGACGTTAAAGCATCCATGCCCACTTCAGTGGCACAAGTGACCAACCATCGAACCATCTCACGTCTTCTCCAATTCAAAGACGCCAAGGTAATTCGCATAACCTGTGCAATACAAAATCAATTTTAAGTCTATAAGAAGATTCCTAAATAAGGAAAACAAAAAAACAGTTGTAACGATGCTGGAGAGCTTTTTGTGCGACATCAAGGCAGATGTTGTGATAGCATAAAAACTTTTTGTTGCATTTAGCTTAGGTTTGGCTACATACTTGCAGTCCCAGTTCGAAGGCGACGGTCAACAGAGGAGGGTGTCTGGGTCCATTCTCAGGAGTTGCAAATCGAAAAGCGTCTTGGGCCAGTTTGAACAAGTGCGACGAACTGTGTATGTGTCTTTGCGCCGATTCCAATACCGTTCTCAGTCGGAGTAGTTCCCCTATAGATAAGTAAAAGAAAGTATTTTTTTTTTTATAAAAATACTATTCACACCGGACGTGCAGGCTATTCGAACTCACCTTTGGCAGCACTCAGCATGGTCGAAGCTAAAGTACACTGTTGAGTTTCGATGTGACCCAGAGTGAACCAGCGAGGGTAGCGGTTCAACATCACCGACGACGGATTGCCGTTTGGATTGTCCGAATCTTCATGGTCTTCTAAGATGGGCAACCTAAATACGTTGGACGAGGACACAAGGCGATGTTAAACAAATACAGGCCACGAATACAGGACGGTAGAAGTATAAACATACCTCATGGCGCGCAGACCGACTTCATAGGCCAAGTCCGGATAGTAGTCGAGCAAAGCGACGAACAAGAATCTGGCGAACGTATGCATGGGTATGCTGTCTCTGTGCACGCCCAAACCCAAGCCACTGGTAGGACCGCCGTCCAAAAGAACGATGGCTTGTCTCCTAAGCACACCGACCAGGTTCGTATCCATATCGAGCTCTTGGAGTTTTGCTATCAGTCTGTCTTCTTGTTTGCATGCTTTTTCCTACGCAAGAAAGTAAAACATCAAAACTGGTAACCACATAAAAATTGAATACACAGCGACTTTCCTGGTTTTTTTTTTAAATTTATTTATGACTAACAATACGGGACAAGCTCATACGTGGCAATATGTATTAGTGTACGCTGTACATCCTAACAGTATGAAGAAGAACAAATTATGTTTTAACGCTTTTAAAACAAAAAAGTAGACGTTCCATATTGATATATAGGTCACTATGACTGAAAGGATTATGGAAATGGGGGCCACATTTGCGAGAATTGTTTGTAGCTGTTATGAGTGATTTCTTGAATTGAACAGGATATTAATTGTACGTTTAAAACGGCTAATAATTTTATAAAAAAAAAACGTCCAAGGTCATGTAAACTGGAGTAGATTTACTTCGAAATTTCACAATTGACGCCGCACATAATACATAATATGTATCCCTAATACCCACAACGACCTTATTTTTAATTGACGGTTATTATTCGCACACGTGAGTTTCGATTCAAACGTTTCAGCGCGGCCATTTTAATGAGCAAGCAGAAAAACAAAAATTGAAACCAACGAGTTTATAGAAAAACGGTAATTATGCACAAATAAAAAATTATAATTTTAAATATACCAGACACCGAATAGGTACATGTTTGCGTCTCGCAGAAACGCAATATTTTAGTTGTTTTTTGAAAACGTTTGTATTTTTTTTTTAGCGCGTGCGTGCGTAGTATGCACTTTCGGTCTCGGCCATCTACGTGAACTTGAAATACATATTATAAATAGGTCATCGCCATTTTCATAACACAAACAATAATTACAATAATTGATAAGCGATTGTAGCTCGAGGGGCAGCCTTCGATTTTGAGGGCACATCGAGCTCGTAACAAACTTGCTTGAGAAAAATCCGAAATTATAACCATACAAGATCACTAAGAGTTCACCAGTCTATTATGTATATTACTATCTGGCATCTTCTCAGTTGAACAATATTTACAAATAGTTTATGAACAGGTACCATTATGGACTATTGTTCTATTTCTACCTAGCTTGCGTTTAATGATAAAAAGGTAAATCGCGTTTTGAATTTATATTACTAACCCCACTTAAAAATAAAGGCTAATTTAATATCGGATATCTTTATCTCCGTGAAACCCCTATGCCTATTGTCTTTTAAGAAAGGAAATCTTGTTAGAATTTGTTTATTTAACTAACATTTCCTCCTCTTCGAGTTTAACCATATGAGTCACAAATATTATGTTTTTATGTGTACATGCATTACAGGTCAACGATGGGGCCGATTTATCCTTATTGAAAAGCGTTATCCCCCCCCCTCGTCCATAATACATATTGAAAAATTAGTGAAGTCTTATTTCGTGATGACGCCAAAAGAGTACCTAATTGCAAAGATGGCCGCCACGTTTTTTGCTTTGCTTTAGTATGTTTTCCGCGTTTAACAGCCGCCGTGGTCGGTCATAAAAACGGACTCGTTGTTAACGCTACTGGTGGATCGCAGGTTTGACGGGTCGGAGGAGCTGGTACACCGCATGTTTTATTTAGAAGAAAAAAAACAGGTTGAGTAAGCGTTACACGGATAACGGGTCACCGGTCAGCCGTATATTGTAGTGGACTAAATCGCCCGAGCGGACCCATCGGCGGCCTAAGGGGTAGCTAGCTGCAGAGGGGACGACCTACCGCGGTTGTTTTTTGGTCAACAGAAAAAAAACATTTTGGCCGGAGGAGTGGCAGCGAGACTTTCACCGCGAAAATTAAAGAAACTGAACTCGAACAAGAAACAGCCTGTACGGGAGAGCCAGAGTCCAGACATAAGACGTATTGTGCAACCGATGCGCCGGCAAAACCACTATTGCAATCGAGCACGGCCGTGTGGACCTCGGTGACCTTTTGGACGAAATAATTCGATGGTAACCGTGAACTTTGAGACCCGTTCACGGGCGCAGTAGTCGACCGAATAAAAAAAAACTGACCGTTTTTTAAGGATAACACGGCAACTGGGCCACGACCGACGAAAATAAATAAATTACACAAGCCGATTTCTATAATATAAAAAGCGAGACGCCATTATATGCTCGGCTACTGACAAGGGTCCCCGGGCTTAACGACAACAACGTATAAAATAAAATACATTTGATTTGATTTTCGGACCATCCACCAGGCTCGGACAATGTGCGCACCGACTGGCGTCGTTGAGTGTACTTGTTATTTAAAAAAAAAACAGCCAAAAAATCGGTTAGGGTCGCCAGCAGCACGCTGTGCGACTGGACGGCAAAATAAAAGAAAATATAATAAACGGCCAGCAATAAATACAAAATGAATAGAAATCGCATCGGCCATATAATATAATATGTTACAGCTCACGTCGAATTTTACAATTTATATCTAATAACAATATAATAGAAGGTGTGTGTTCCTCCGACACGCCTACAAAAAGAGAACTCGCTAAAAATTACAAAGACACGCTGGCGACTTGGAAAACCGAATGCTCTAGTCCTAACAAAAAAAAAACGACCGTACTAAATAGAAATTGCCTTTAAGTGTTTATAATTTGCCAATGACAAATGAACCATGTCAACAGGGTCGAGTCTCACATAACATATTTTTTAACTAGTGGACTTTAAGACGATTCTAGGCGAAGATGCGTTTAATTTATTAGAGATAATCCGACGATGACTAGTCCAAAAATGACGGTCTGTGGGTGGATGTTTACCAGGAATCAGGATCGTCCTCGTTTAATTCGAGTTTTATATATACCCACGACCATACAACGTTGAATTCTATCGAATACATACAACATTGAAATTGCATAATAACGACATGTTAATAATGATGTCTAAACCAATCTAATATTTTTTTCAAATCACCAAAGCCGCCGAATTATAAGCGAATAGTGTAAACAATCCTATAGGAAAAAAACGCATAATGTACGGTGTAATGTTATATTATAACATTATTATAGATACGACAAACCCATCACCTCTGTATGGAATTTACAACGCGGTCCTAAATAATCATTTTGAACCCATAAGTGGAACTATGCCTACAAATTATGGTGGGCCAATAAGATAAACCCCATTTAAAAACCCTTCACTATGTAATGTATTGAAATTGTATTTATTGAACATATTTTGTAAATACAATAAATTGACAATTTGTCTTTAAATAAGACAAGACCAATCGTGGATAATCCAATTTTTTCCCCTCATTTCTTTATCTTGAAGACCATAACGATTATATTTTAATGAAAAAAAAAATTCTAAATTAGCATTAGTAAAAAGAAACCTAAATTATGAGATTGGACGAAACAAATAAAACCGCCGAGTTAGATAAATATGTCTTGTTTTTGTAAAAATAAAAACACAATTTTTCCAAATACAAAGTTTTGAGTTAAATCAAGATCAACGAACCTCAAATTAATATTCTATTTAATTATAATGTACATAAATATCGAGGAAGTTAATGTAACTCATTAACCGGCCGAAGTTCGATCCAGTTTATTTAATGTATATTGTACGCACATGTCCAAAACATACCTGAGCGTATAGTCCGGGTGGCATGTTACGCTGTTGGCCAAGTCCGATGAGGGCCACTTCGACGGCCAGCGAGAGATAAGTTTCAGATCGATCTTGAGAACCGAGCACCGGTATGTGAGTGAGACGGGGGGTGGGACGTAGGCTGCCTCCTTCTTCTGACGTGTTGGCGTCTGAAACGAACGAAATGGCGTTGAGTGTGACGTTTTCTACTGTATCGGAGGGAAGGTCTGTGGAGGACTGACCGAAAAACGACGACGAATGAGGCACATTTGGATCAGGAACTATAGAAGCATCAGTCAGTGTGTCGAACAGACAGCCGATCGGATCCATGGGATGACCGACCCATCCTTCCGTCCAGCTGTTGTGCAACACGTTTTGGTTAGAATTGCTCCGCGAGCCGTTACGGCTGTTGGTACGTTCCGGGTACCGGTAGCCCGACCCGGAAGACGGGCCCGGCGTCCGCGGGTGATTGTCGTAGTACGTGCAGTAGCTGTTGCAACGGGGCGCGGTGCACAAGTTGGGCCTAGGCGAGTCCGCAAACGCCGTGCACCTGTAACTGGTGCAGCCGGCGTTAGCGTATCCGGAACGAGACGAGCCGGAGTCGTTGTAGCCGCACCGTGACAAGTTGCACGACGACGACGGCGAAGACGCGGACGAAGGAGACGACAGCCTGTCGTAGCCGACCATCGGGCAGGGTGCGCACCGCGAAGAACAAGGCCTAGTCTGTGAGTAAGTGTCGTACGAACACGACTGCGCCGGCCGCAGCTCGTAGCACCGGGTCGGCGGGTTTGAGTGTCGCGACGGACACCGAGGCGGTGGTTTTTGGCTCTCCTGCCACCGCCGTTGCGCGTCCAGTTGTTGCTGTTTCATTGTACGCACCACGCATACGGCTAATCTCAGGGCGGCCGCGTGGTGGCCGTGAGACCTCAAAGCGTCCACACGCGAAGCGCACGTGGCCAACGGTTCGTGCCACAAGGGTTGACCCAACGAGTTGAAACTGCCAGATTGTGTGCTGTCCGGTATGTGACTGCTGTACGTGTCGCTGGATAAAATGTTCTTCAGGTGTATGTTGTCCCAGGACATGCCTACCGCGTCCAGAGCCCTGCATGAACAACGCAAACCGTTTGTATTATAATTACACTACGCGGTTTAAAACTAGAATGACTTGTTAAAGCTCAATTAGGTTAAAATACCATCGTAATTTAAAACCCTTTTGGCTTTTGTATGTTTCCATTATCCGGTGAACACTTATAATCGGGTAATTAACATTTATTCATAAAATTAGATAAACTGCTATGTTGTACTAACCTATGGAATATCGTTCGGTTTATTCGTTGGCTCGTGCTTGGATAACTGCTCCTGTACCTTGGACTCGATCTACTCGACCTGGACGATGGTCTGTAATTGGCATTGTCCACGTCGTCATCGGATGCGTTTTCTGCCGGTGCATGGTGGTTGTTTCTCTGTGTATACAAAACGTTTTACATTACATTACACAATGATAATAATAATAATACAAAATGGGCCACAAATCGCAGTCAGAAGCCCGTTTATGCTGTACAAGACTTCCCTGTGTTCGACCGTTAATTGGTAACGTTATACATTACTTTGGCCAATTAACAATTCGTTAATTTATAATAGTATTACAACTTGGTATGACGTGAGTACTAATTAGAGAGCCGACCCTAAATAATCGACCGACACAAAAAACGCCATGAGCAAATTGATCATTAAAAAATGCATTCACAAAGATTTAAATAACGACAACCGAAATTTAGTTCACAATTCTTTATACGCAGATAAAGATATAAGACGCATCCCTGTACATAATAAACACGATAGCATGAAGAACAGACGATGAAGAGTTAACTTTAGACTAATTCGAGTTATTTGTGTGTATACTCACATCGTTAAAAGCCGGAGGTAGTGCCAACATGTCGGGGTCTTCAGGTGGACAAATGTCCACGTGCGTCCACTTCTCCAGCAGCGTCTTCCACTGGCTCTTGTCCTGGTTGGTGCAATGTGGGTTCAACACGATACACACCCATAGGGCGCCCAGCTGGTCCCAGAGCTGCCGGCATTTGTCCGTGATGGGAGTGCCCTGCGACTTCCATAAGGCCAGCCGGGGATCGCACAAGAACTGTTCGGTGATCAGGGTCAACATGCGAGCGCCGTTGGAATCTTGGGCCCGCAACATTTCACGTACCTTGGCGAACAGGGAATTGAGCTGCTTGTTGGCATTATAGTAGCTTCCGTGGGTCAGGTACGACTTGACTTGTTCGCATACTTGTTCCTCATCCAGGTGCCACGTATGTTCGTCGTCGGCGCTCGGTCCAGCAGTTGGGTCGGGTGCTCCTGAAAAACAACAAAACAAAACGATCAGCCAACATTTAAAGTAATATTCATCATGATCTTTCCTAGTCTATAGTGGTAACACCTATGTAATTGTTTAGTGACAGTGGGTGAACGCTAGAGCCATAAACTGTTACCCTATAACGCTTCTTGCGGGAATTGATTCTTTAAGGTTTACTAGATTACAGTACTTTAGAGGTTTTAGCGCAAACCAAAGGATTCTAACAGGTTAAGTCAACCGAAAATTTCCACATAATATAACGTAATATAAATCAGTTTTGTGGGGTTTTGAGTTTGTAATTTACTTGTACTTCCATCTGTGTTTGAAGAGCGGCATTGCAATTTTCGCTTTAGGGTGGAAAATATCTAACGACGGCCTTGTTAATAAGGACTCTATATTTTTTAATCTTCTGTCATAATTCAAAGCATATAATACATTTTTTAGGGGCGATTTCTGAATGGACAAAATTAAAAAAAACGGACACAGCACAACGGAATACAATATATTGACAGACGACCCTAATTACTAAAACGTTATTACTGCCAACACAGGTGACGTTTAGCCGGCTTCTCAAATTAAATATATTTTTTTACCTCAATCATGGGCCGGGTTGGATTTTGCGAAACGTTTGGCTTCTGTTATACATACGTGTTTTAGTCGTCGTCTGTAAATTATGCACAATGTTCTTTCCCGATCAACACAAAGAAATTGTCGCATTTGTCGGAGGATCAGGGGAAACCCAGAGGCAGAAATTCGCAGAAACTCGTACAACATAAATACCCGCGGTGCCTAATCCGTAAGTGTAATGCACCGGTGATCATTATTGTTATTACGATGATACACACTACATACACTGCATACACGGCATAGAAGAATTCGACGGGAACGCGGTCGTATTCTGGGTGGGGTACGTTACTTTTCGCCGGTCGTTAATTAAATCTTAAACGTAATTCCTTGTGTGAGCGCGTTAATTGAGTTTTATCTTCCCAGACGATACAACGAGCACACACACCAGAGGTTATCACAATAAATCAAGAGGCCACGAAAATCCGGGCACAACCCCCTTAGTCACGGTGATTTATATTATATATACACATATATTTTTTTTTACAAACGACTCGGCGTCGGCAGCAGTAATCGATTTCCGAAAAACGATCCCACGGTTTTGTCTCGGTGCCTGTTTGGTTGCCTATACGCGCACCCTGTGGTTCGTTGACAAATACATTTTTAATTATTTCGTTCCAACACTAAAATAGTATCGGTAACCTCTTTTTGTAATAATTTTCAAAAATGAGAAAAAGAAATCTGGTAATATTTCTACTAAGTAGTCGTGGGATCGACGGCTTGTATTATGCATGCCTTCGGGTCGATAAAAACCAAACCGGTTTGATTTTATTGAATAAAAACTCTTCGGCTCAAAAAAAAAAAATCCTATTCAATCGTCAAATAATATACCTATAGATTATAGGTATAAGTATAAGCATACCTACGTACCGTTGGAAACCAACAAATATTGATTAAAAATAAATGCCGACATACTGCTTGACACCAAAGTGTTCACAAAACCTATTTTTAACAAATTGGAAAAACGCGTTCAACCCGTTTATGCGTAATTATTTTTCAATCGGAGTGGACAGGTAAGTTTGTAATTAGCATATACATATTATACCTTTTTTTACGGCCGTGTAAGATCTACTACTATATTATTTAATGTATTATTATTATTGCATTGAAGAAAACTGACACTATAATAAACCGGAGGAATAGTAATATTATTTTAGCGACCGGTTCCGGTGCCAAGATTAGTGTGGAAAACAATGGAACAGCACACCGGATATTACAGTTAGTGCAATTGCTTGTTAGAGTGTATGAAGAGCGCGAGGTTCGTTTGTGTGTGTGTGTGTAATATTATATTATTATTATACTACATGTTATTATTTACGTGTAGCATTCGGCGGAGACCCCATTCACTCAGTAGGCGGCCATACTTTACTAAACACAGTTCAATTTACATTGCATAAGCCGAGTACACACACGCACCACAGAGTACATACCACTGCATATATACGCACAGTAGTCGCACTGAAGTGCAGCAGCTGGCGTGGAACACGGAGGAAATGGCGTCGACAAAAATCACTTTTTCCTCTGTCTGTCTACCTCCTCTCTTTCGTACACGCAAACATACTTGCTCAGATAGACTGTACCAATCAAATAGAAAGTGTAACAAATTTTACCGCCGCCGCTCTGGTTGGGAGATAAGTGTACCGAAAAAAACCTAGTGGATTCTGTTGACCAGAGTTTAATGCCGACCAGACGGGAAAACAATACTATACATAAAAGTTTTTTTTTCATAAATTATAAAAAAGGTGTTTTCGCATTGTTAGCTCGATTCTTCGAGACACCGTACGATTTCCATTACATCACTGGAGGGCAGGCAAGCCGGAAAGATCGTCTGTGCCCGTACGTGATGACGACGGGTTACCAACGGTTTCTTCTCAACGACCTTGTCCGGCCGTACGCGCTTTGTCCCTTCATAGTTCATTCGTCAATATTCGGTTTCTCGACGGTTTCGACTAACACTGGACTGTGGTCCGACAACAGCTAACATTCTAACCTAACCGTGTGACGATTCTTTAAAAAACTACACGTGTTCAGTGTTCACCTTGGTTGAAAAATTTAACAAAAACATTGTCAACAGAAATAATAATAATAATAATGATGATAAAAATAATTTTTTTTAATCGTGATTTGCAATAATTATTATTTAAAAAGTACAACCGTCAGTTGGTGTGCATGGAAAGTTTTTTAATTCAATATTAAACGGCTATGGAAATACAATTATATAACAATATATTTTATCGTCCGCTTTGGCTCTCTAACAAATATTTGTTTTTAATCGAATAAAAATATCATAAGCAACGGGGGACAAATATTGTTTTAAACGCCACCGCAACGTTTCTGAGTCACAAGGTCTATACTCTATATTGTAGAGTCTATAACAATAACATACCGCAGTTTAAAGTAAAAATAAATATTAAAACTGTATAAGTTTAACATCTGGGATGCTAACGAAAACGAAAAAAATATTATTATTTTTTTGAATTTTTATCAAATTAGAATCGAATGCGAATAGTTAATAAATTACCGAGTAACGTTAAGGCAAACCGAATTAGTTTTTCAGCCAAGTGGACATACTATGAATTTATAATTTAACAATTATACATACGGTTTTTTTTTGTTTTTTTTTTTTTAATGCTGAACACACGCATTTGCCACTAACTAATAGACAATACGTCAAAAAACCAACAGCCAAAAAAAACACTTTCAAGGAAAATGAATTTTTATGAAACTGTTTATTTAATATTTGTATTATAATGACGAATAATCTTTTTTAACGTTAATGCGTATAGTTTGAACAATCGATTCCTCAGTCATTACAATGTTTTTTCTTAGTAGTCAAATCAATAAAAGGTATATAGTTACACTAAAATAATACACGTTCGTAAACAGCGAATGTTTAAGAAAAAAAAAATTGATAACGGAATTTGTATGTATCCACATCGGATTCTGTACATAATTGACCATTAATAACAATTATTTCTATAAGGAACTCTGATAGGTATTCCAATGAGTCCGACTGCGTACTAACTACTACCCCACATAGTCATAATGACTTAGAGCGTTGTAGTAATTCTTATCCCACTCAAACATTTGAAATAAAACTTTTTTTTAAATGTTTTGATGAGGTTTGGCAGAAAGTATTATTTATTTGTTCGTAGAAGGCTTAGAAAATAACTTATGTATAATATTTGGAACCTTTTTTTATTAGTATTTAATTTCTTGCCAAAATATATAATTATACATATTATTATACTTCGCATTAAAATGTTTTTTTCAAATACATTATTTATTATTGCTGTGTAGAATCCTTTTAATAATAATTTGTTATCTCTAGATGGCTTGAAAATCTTGATCATGGCACGGTTAAATTAGGTATTATTTTGTAATATTGTAGAACAATAATCACAGAATGGGTTAGAGTGACTAAAAGTTTTCTCGACTTAAAAACTGTACGGTTTTAATGACGTACCATAATAACATTGTAAGCATTATTATTTTATTTAGTAAAACGTCCCCCACGGGCCACGGTTAGTTAAAAAATACCAGTTTCATATACCCCATCAGGTGGAAATTTTGGAGCACGACTCCAAAATTTCTCCAAAATTTGAGTGAAAAAACTGAAATTTAATCGACATCCCGATCAATAATAACAAATACAGATAATAGTAGTAATTTTGGAAGTTATTATGACAGGTATTGTCGTGACACCAATTTTTTAGTTCAACACAAATGCGGCGTAGAGGATGTATTATATACTTGCAGGCGTATAATGGAACACAATGTATCGACTGGTCTATCGATTTTACAAGAACAACAAAAAACTTATTTTGTAATTTATTTTCTACTTTATTGTACTATACTAGCATACATACTGTACATACACATTGTACAGACTATTAAATAAAATTATTTTATCATCCAAGTAATATACAGTGTTCATTGGCTCCTAGCACATAAATTTAAAAAATATTTACACTCTTGGACACTTTTTTCTTTTGCTGACCATCGAAGGATTTATTGAAAAGTATTGCTCCCTCTAAACCAGTGATCGCCCTAGTCCAGGCTTTGATAATGGACACGCGGCCGTGTGCAGCTTTCGACAAATTGTTTTTTTAGAAAATGCCTACGCTTCCGGCTACTCACTGTATATGTGTTGGCTAATAGCGTTAAACAGTAACCGCACTATGGCTGTATATACGGTGCACCGGCCAATCATAATATACAACGCTTACATGAGCTCATTTATAATATTATTATGCTCGGAGCAATTTGATTATCCGTCGTGCAGTATTACATATTATAAATTACAATATCATTATTATTAGTATGCCCACTGTGGAGGTCAACACTGACACGATATAATGTGCGTTGAGCGGGCAAATTTTTATTTCTATAGATGTATAATACAATATACAATATTATACATAATATGGTATACTTATTGCTACAAACGTATTAGTACAAATACGTATTAGCGCACGTAACGCAATGGCTGCGCTAAGTAGGTTAAACACGCAGACAGACGGTTCACATTCGGCGTGTATCAAACAGATATACCTCGACCAGTTGGTATCAAGTATAATATAATATATTAATAATAAAAAACGGCTTAATATTCGAATACAAACGAATATTAACATGCATTTCGCACGAACTTAACCCGATAACGGTTCGTTTAAGTTGATACGACCAAAGACAAATATGAAAAAACGATTTTTTTCTTTTTGTAAATAGTAATTCTACGATAATATAGATAACATAACCCAATAGTAGATCATACCGCATATTAATTATGGTATAATAGCAATTTCATTTGCGCCACGATATAATACAAGCAATTCTACATAAGTATACAATAGTATAATTAAGATTAAATGTTATTCGTTAATGACGGGTTGTTAATTATTTATTAAGCAGTGTGTAAAGTACTTATTATTATAAACGATATGTAGCAAAAAAACATCATTTAATCGGTTACTTTAATAATATGAGCTTTTACTCGATTTTACAATTCATTTTGAGCATGCATATTATGTGAATAGCGTGTATAATTGTCATGTAATCCGGCAGATGACCCCTCGCCCACGGAACCCCGGATCTAGTTCGAAAGACAAATTATAAGCCCTATTCAAGAATATTTTTTAAATTTCATCTAAACCACAATTATTTATACATGATGCCACGTGCCGTGTCATCTTTTTTTTTATTTATCCAAACTATTCTATTCGCCAGATGCTCCATTAAATAAACTATGTCATCCCAATAATCACAGCAGCAGACACCGATTCATGTGTTTTTTTGTGTAAATTAAATTTTACATAGAAACTGGTGCAGTAGTAAAAAGTGCACAATTTTATTTTAGATATCTGAAGTTACGTATCCTAAAAAAGCACAAATAATATCATAGCCAACAATAGCACTTTCCGTAGTAATCGGCAAATTATTTTTTATACATTTATTAATTTTTGTCTCTTTGGATGAAAAGATCCTTAATATGCACATACCTGGTGCCCCCACCCACTTGCTTCGAAGCCACAAGTCACATTGATTATCAACATTTGTGCTGACTAGATTTCAATCAAAGATTTTGTTTCTTAAAGTCTATGATATCAGAATCTGGCTAGGTTCGCACGCATGCCATTATAATGGATCCTTTCATACGAAAAGACAGTCGTTGTTTAGTAAACGTCTTTCAAAATGTAAAAACGGTTCACAAAAATATTTAATATTGAGACCGTGAGAGTATTTCCCACAAAACGTCATTTTAATAAAATTTTATGGCGTACCCTGTCCTTCAATAGAATCACACAACTGTGCTCATTTAGGTTGTACTATAAAAAGGCTGGGGTTTTCATGCTCTTTTGACACTACCAATCTATGGTGGTTTGGTCTGAGACTTGGGTAACTCTTTCAGGAAACATATAAACGATAAAGAAATATGTTATACAGAGGAATGGGCATTTGTAATAGTTTTTATCTAAAACGGAATATTATGTATTAATACACATAGACAAATTACTTATAATCAACTTAGATTAGATTATATTTTATATTGTATTATAAATGGAATTGTTATGTATCCTGTATCATAAAATACACGATGAAATTGTTTTTAATAAAATATTAATGTTTTGGTAAATTACATTATAATTAAGAACATCAGAATTTAGATAATTTAATAAGCGATCGAAGATTATGGTCATTCATCAAACAATTTTTTTACTATGTTACATTATTGCTCTCCCTTCGAATTTACTTTTGGTACGTTCACTTGATCGTTTAAAGTGTTATTTAAAATAGCCAAAAGAGAACAAAGTGTTATTTGATAATAAAGTAAATAATGATATCGATAATCGCGATGGTTGAAGCATTAAAAACCATTGCACACTAGCCATGCGTTGCAAAAACGATAATAAGAGAAAACGTCGCCTACGTTATTATTGTTATCTATAAACTGGCCGGAAATTTGAATTGAATGTTTAGAAAACAAAAAATTAGAATAAAATTACTCTTTTATCTAAATGTAATAATAAAAAATTCATAATTGAAAATATTTAAACTGCGACTATTGTCAAGGGACAATAATAAAAAAAAAAAGATTCACACAATAAATATGAATTTGTCTAGTACATACGACTATTCGTATCAATGCATTAAGTGTTCTTTGCTGCTTCAAAAAAGTTTGTGTGGAGACTGGAGAGGGGTACAAAGAGTGGTGTAGAAGAAAATATCGACTTAAGTAATGACTCATTCTTACAGTGCAGCCACATTTGATAAACCCCATTTTTATACGTTGATTATTTATTAATTTTGGTGACACTACGTCATGAACATTTTGACTGATCGATAACCAGTTTTGGATAATTACTTTTTAAGTTATTGAAGATTAAAGTTCGGGACGGAAAGAAGGTTATTAGGCACATACCATATTACACAGCTCAAGCGTTCGATATTAACCCAAATAATGGCAAACAGTTTTTTTAATTTTATTAATACTGAAATGGATAGCTCGTTTGAATTGTACTTGAACTCATTTTAACTACAAATTTAAATGGACCCAAAAAGTGCAAAATTAATACAATAGAAGTTATTTCAGTCGTCATTGCGGTTTCCTACCATTTTGGGTAAGTAAAGCGATAAACACCTTTCAACATCAAAACGAAACATTCAAATACAACCATAATCCATTTACATACACTTTGTAGAATACATAGGTATTATTGGGGCTGGGGTAAAATTAGGTAAACAAAATAATAAAACCGTACACAATATATATTATTATGTATATTGTGGTAAATGGTAGGACCGGTTGAGTTCCGTCGGTTTACAATTATTGTCCTATTATGGCAAATATTTTTTTGCCGGTTATCCACGTTTATCGTTTAATTATAAAAAAAAACGATATTCGTTGTGCGACAGGCGGCAGCGTTATACCGTGAGGTTAACCGGACGAAGGAATGAACGTCATAAAAACATAATATTTTTATTTAGTCGGGAGAGAAGAAAACACACAAAGATGAAACACGATAACGTCCGTCCGTGTGTTTATATACGATTACCGTTATGGTGAAGCCGTTTGATATCGTTAAGGGCGTGGGTAGTTATTACCCTGTGGATGCCGTGAGCAGAATACAAATGGTCTGGCAAATAAAAATCCTATAATATAGGATCTGAGCGGGTTTTCGTTTGTGGTGGCGGTGACGATGATCCGAGAGAGGTACGCTGAGGGATCTCTGACTAACGCGCGCGGCAGAACAATAATAATAATAAAAAAAACCATTGTTACATAGTTTTTTTTTCGTGTTTGTTTAAATACATTATTCACGGCTGACAGGTGGTGTCAGACTAAATGGAACTCTCCCCCTTTGGTGCGATACGGCTCAACTCGCGCGCCGACCATTAAAGTTCTTCGTTTTGGTATTTTTTTTCAAAACGATTTCGTCTCTCCACATGGTGTTCTCTATTATAATATGATAAATATTATAATAATATTACATACATATTAATATTATTTTCGTATGATGGGACGTACCGGGGAAGGTGTCGTTAAAGAGGCATAATATATTTATTCCTTACCGGCTATCTGATTGATTTCCGAACGCTGCTGTAGGATTTCATCGGCCAGCTTTTGAGCAGTCGGCAAAACTTCGGTGTGGTGTTCCGAAATCAGGTACTGGACGAATTTTTGCAGCTGTTGTCTGTCCATTTGCAACAGGGTTTCTAAACGAGTACATTTAAATTAAAATAGGTATTAACAACAATCACATCTCAGCACCGTTTACAGTCATATTATTTTTGACTGCAAAGGAAGTGGTTTTGATTTCAAGCGCTCGGTTGACGTTGATCTATCGCAAGGGTTTTATGTTTCTGTTTTGTAAACTCTTCTAAAAAACCTCACCTACACGGTCTTTGGGTTTGAGGGGAATACAGAAAAAACCAAAAATATTTATAACCACGACCGCCGTTTCGTTTTGGTCCCGTGACCAATCTATTTTCAATCCGATGGAAACGAGTATAATATAATGAAAGAGAAAAAAACTTCACTGGTGAAAACATATCGAGGTTATAACCACCGTACCATTGAAGTCCCCCGAGAACACCTAACTCGTAAAAACTATAAATTGGATAAAGATATATGTATACACAACTACAAACAGAGGCAGCGCGTTACGCCATGTGTCTGGCTGGAAGTCTTTACGCAATTGGCAAAGAGCACCGAACTGAAACGTTCTTAAGGTGAAAAACAAAAAAACAAAAAAATGGAAATTTAAAGGCTCGTTTTGGCGCAGTTGATATTATTATTATTAGTGGTAACTGGTATTATTGCGTAATATTCGAATTTCGCTAAGGATTTTTTTCCTTTTTTTTTTACAGGTTAAGAAAATTAAACCTCCACGCTGTATTAAACTCACCGTAAATGATTTTTTGAAAATATCTGCAATGCATATACTATAAAAACGTTGTGTATTATTGTAGCAAGTGAAATTTTATTTGTTAAAGTTTTTTTTGCAATTAATGGATACATTTTATTTTTTAGCATAATGTACCTAAAAGCACGGCGAAAATATATAGCTGCGTCAACACAATATATTTATAGTTGGAAAAACTAAAGAAAAAGTTTGGCTAGCTAAATGTTCAGTCAAATCACCATTTAACATTTAGTTTGGCCAGATAAATGTTTACAACTATTTATTTAGTTATTCCAAACTACATAATTATTGTGTCCTTAAAATAACCATAATTTTAGTTGATCCAACTATGTATTTTTTTTCGTGAGATAAAACATTTAAAAAAAATAATGTCTTTGTACTACTTTATAGTAGCAATAGCCTGCGCCCACGTTATAGAAATGAATAAAGCCTTTCAGCACAATAATTGCGTGAGTATCATTCGAATTAAGAGTTAAGAGGACATGTAATTTTCGCACAAGGTCACTAGTTTCCTTTAAGTTTGGACGCACTAAGAACACAGGTATTCTAAAAAAAACTACTAAATTAATGAGTGTAAATTGCTATAAAATATTATACAGCAACTGTATTCTGTATTATTCGTTCGATAAATAGCAATTTAGTTTGTATACCACTGAGTAGAACGTGTTAGGGAAATGAGTACCTAATAAAAATATAAATCCGAGGTAAACTTTGAATATTTATTTTCTACAGTCAAAAACCGGAAAATAAATGCGTAGCTCGTGCATATTTCCAGAGAAATCAATTTTAACGATTGCTATATCATTGGTGTTTAAGTCGACGTTCTGTAAATAACTAACCTGCCGAAAACGAAGAAACATTTAGTTTTTTATTGCCCAAAATCCAATCCCGTATAATATTAAAAGAAGTTGTGTACATCACTAAACATACGATTTAAACTACATAAATAGTATACTGATCTAAGATACACAAGTCGATTTTCGTAAAACACAATAGTTGTTATCTGTTGCAGTTGTCTCAGGAGGCATCAGTAATATATCATGTATATATTATATCTATCATTAACTATAAATTATTATTTGATTCATAACCACATTTCACTACAAAAAATATACAATTTATTGTTTCAGATATTTTAGGATTCTGGATGTAAAATGATTAATGATCGTCTAATAGTATACTGGGAAAGGCTAAGATAAGATATAAAACCATTATTAATTACAGAGTTGAGATAAAGTAGCTTTTACTCTCATAAGTATTAGTTTTGCTAAGGAAACTATGACCAGTTTGGTATTGGACACATCTGCTTTATTTTATACATAATATTATACACACAGCCATACCAAAACGTGAGTCTACCACATAATGACAAACTCAAAACAAGATAACAATTTTAAATTAATAATAAGATATGAACTGGTGTGACAAGTATAGAGTATAGTAAAAAACGAATTATAAAATATTACATTGACAATTTCTGCGAAATATGCTCAATAAGAAGGCTAATGTTTACATGATAGTTTGTATTAAGTACAACTTTTGTACAGTATATAAATACAAATTTTGTATGTATAACGAGTATTATATATTATTATCTGAACGGCGGCCGCCGATGGAGAATTTTCTTATTTGTCTACAAAACTTATATTATAATGTATATTATAACTCTTTTAAATGAAGAGGAACAATAAGGATATCATTCTCGAGATTCGCTGAGGCTATATATTCAAATTTAATTAACATCCCAATTCAAACAATAATCTAAGCTTAAATATTAGGTCAACAACAAAGGAAGGCAACTAACCATAAATGCACGTCTGCTTGAATTGGTTTTGATTTTATTTTGCCAGAAAGTACAATATTGTACACAATCACGCACACATGTTTAACAATGTATAATACTATATGTTTGTGTTAATATTTACCTGATATCGGGACCCTGAGCCTGACACTGTCCGCGTTTCGTATCCTGTACAAGGACAAGGCCACTACGTGGGGGCACCAAAATATGTCTTTCGTATCGCAGCTGCATGTCACCGACGTTATCTTACACCTGCACATACCAAGGTAAAAATAAGGTAAGTAATAAACACAATTATTACTATTCTCCATCATAATCATTGTATACACAAATATACAAATGCAAACACTATATACATTTATCGACCATCACATAATATGATGTAAATCTTAACTGCACGAGGAAAAAACCTAGTGACTTTTATGGTTTCAAAATGGTCAAGCGATATTGTATTTTTTTTTTTTTAATTCTATCTTATGCTAATGTTTTACAACACGTGTATTCGGAATCTAATACAAGCTCAATATATTATATTTCTTAATTCTCGGTCTTAACGTCAATATCAATAACACTGATGGACACATCTAAACATAAATAATCGATTGTTTAAGCTTTCAATTCATTAAGCTTGTTTAAGGTTTATGACTGATAAATCAACAGCAATTTGTTTGAAAAATTTTAATTGTTTCTAGATTATTTTACCGCAAAATTAGATTCGTTATGTAGTGTTTGGACCAAAAGATTTAGTTCTTTTGAGAATCATTAACTGATTGCCAGTCTTTAACATTTGACTAGTGTAAAAAAAAATTCATATCGTCTTACCTGTCAAAACTGACTGACACTTTGTGCTTTTTGTTCTCTTGATCAGGATGATTAAACTGCGGTGAACCCGGCCTTTGATTCCAAACGACACCGCTCAAATGGAACCCTGTAAGACAAAGAAAAAACACTTGTTAATATTAAGTATTTTACAAAGCCTAAATCGGAAATTATAGGGAAAAAACGAATGTACGTTAAACAAACACACGCACATAAGAGAAGAGGGAGACTGTAGCCATTAAAAAACAAATAGCTTGCCTATAGAACAGATATCCTATTTAAGCCAATTTCAATGGCATATATTATAATAATATAATTTAATGTACCGTGCGCTCGCGTTTCCACATGCATTTGTTGTCTGGGGATTTGTGTGACGCGGGGCAAACCCAGGAGAGAACTATATAATACTTTATTGATCCGGCATTGTAAATTATTCGGCCCTCAGTATAATAAAAGCAAGAGAAAAGAGGAGAACCAGAGACATTAAATTTGTATCGTTTATTTTAGGACTTAAAAAAATAAAATAAAAAAAGGCGCGTTAGTTTTAATACTGGAATTATAAAAACAATACAAAGATTGATACCGCCCGCTTTTCATTCGGGGTGAACACGAGACCCAGTCGCTACAATAGAATAAAATTATGGCTGTGCTATGCGTGTTAACTCTGCATCAGTCGCGTGGTTAATATCACACGAGTAGTCGCGCGTAAAACAATTACAATTTTGCTAATTAAAATGTATTATTGCAACATAAATTAATGATTTGACCACATTATTTAGTTCTCATATTTATTCTATATTTTGTATCATAGTTGTACAATATTAATTAATTTAATACATACAAAAAAGAAATGTAACAATTTAAAGGAGAATAAAAAAAAAAATATTATTAAAATATATATTTATAATGTATGTGTATCTATATATCATTTAAAGGTAATATAATTACCATTGTGATGAGGAAATCCTAAAACCATTTAAAATAAAATGTATTATCGGTGTACTACAGTAGTAGAACGCGCGACTGATGCAGAGTTAATCAATTTTCGTAACAATTTCAAACAAGTTATTATTTTATAGTACGTTTATCCATAAAATATTCTAGTCATAGACTCTAATTAGTAATTACTAATTACTAATATACTGCTATAATTAAAGTATAAGTCGAATCAATTATGGATTTTGTCAACCGGCTTTAAAAAACTCTCACATCTAATTTGTGAAAAGATTTTTAATCTTCAAAAGCCTAGTACATACATTTTTTCAACGTGTCATGTATCAGTAATATTTAAAGAAAAAAACAATCACATTTTATTTATTGAAAAATCCAAATATTTATGTTTATTATACAATATAATACATTGTTTCTACTATTAATAATAACTTCAACAATAACGATTACCCTTCACAAGCACCGAAAAATTACAACCCAAGCGTGGTCGATGGAAAAAAAATAACATAATATTTCGAGGAACGTGAGTGTGACTGCAGATGTTTGGGGATTAGGTCAAAACACACACAGCTGGCTAGTTTGGTTCGGTGTAATAATTAGGATCCACTAAACAAAAATACAAGTTACCAACCCCAGAAAATAAAAAGTTTTGATCAATTTTAGGTTTAGCCATGGCGAGTTATAATTTATCTTTTTTTTTTTTTTAAATAAATCCATTTGAAAATAATGATTAGAGAATTTTCACTTTATTAATTTAAAATTCACCTTTTTAACATAACATAATTATAAATGCTTTTTTAACAAAACCAAAATTATGAAAGTTAGTTTATAAGAAAATAATTGAAGGTTTAAACATTTTTAGTGTAATATTTGTTCCTGCTTGTTTAAAATAAGTTTTTTGTATTTTTGGGTCCAATGACGTTATTGCAAGATGGAGAGTTTTATTGGTTAATAAAATAAAAATGCAAATAATGTCCAGATTTTTCTGCGAACCACTAGTTGGCGACCGCTGCTATATTTTATTTTTTTTTAAATATATTTTACATATTTTTATTTTAAGACATCAACTTGATTTGTACATAATATATATGTGTATATATATATATACACCTAGTATATATATGTATAAAGTATAATACTATATACTCGATAAGTATAACCTATTTAAAGATATTATAGATATATTGTTTTTTTTTTTAACTACATTAGTACTGGAAATTGGAAAATCGTCATTGGATGTTTTGTTAACGCGCTATCGATGACGTTCTATATAAAAATATTAATTTATTGTTACACAAAATATATAGGTATGAATCACAGCATACAGCCGAACGGTGGTGTTGAACGGAAAAAACCACAACACAACTGTGACGTCACTGATGTGTCGTCGTCGACGACGGCGGCGGCGGACAGGTTCAGTGGCCGTGTTGCCGTGTCAAGGCCATCGTAGTACCCCCTCCGCCCGGACCTCACCCACCGACCGACGAACGCCCGCAACAGACGGCGGCGCCACGCCGTGCCGGTGTATGTGTGTGTTTAGGGTCCGTTCACGCCATACGCACGGCAACGTCGCACCGTTGCGGTACTCGTAGCTACATGTAGCTGCCGCTTCCTCGGCCGAAGACCCAGAGTTACCTGTGTGTGTGTATAATATATACAACAATAATAATATACCATTATATTACATGATACGGCGAAGAGCGTTGTAGAAAAAAAAAAGAAATAAAAGATGTGTTCGAGCGCGCGATGGGTTATATTTTCATTATTATTACTCTTTTTTTTTCCTATCTACTCTTTAGACGGCTGAGGACAAAAAAAAACCTTTGTTCAAAGACCCAAACACGCGTAACTAACCGACCGAATGCGAGTAGGGGGCGACTGCAGGCACGGCGGAAAAAAAGAGACGACGCGTCATACGCGTTTTTGGTGCGTATTGATCTCGGAGTCCGAGGGGCGGCGCGATGCGGCCCGCTTGCCAGCAGGCACTTATGGGATTCATCGGGGACGCCGCGGCCGCGTGCACATACATACATACACACACACACATCTGGGTGCACACCGCTGTGTAATATTATGTAATTTTGTTTTATTATCAACGCCACCCCGCTTTGCACCGATCGTAGTGAGTACCCCTAAGGTCTCGTGATAGATTTAATAAATAAAAACCGTACGAAGACAAAAACGTAGGGCATAGACGTTTTTATCCGATTACTATTAAACTACGAATACGATTACAGTACGCGCATACGATTAAAAACAATAACGTTTACTTATTTATCATGAATGAACCGATAAGACTCTTGTATGTAGTATGTATATAGTACGCATTTATTTATATACACACATGTATATGTATATATATATATGTCTGTGTATAAATTTATATATATATATATATATATATATATATATATATATATAATGTACTGTTGGGACTGAATGAAAACCGTGTCAAGGTGAGAGCGGCGGCAGCGGAGGCGGTGTCGGGGAGGAAGCGTTGTCCGTATTACGGCGAGGTCATGCGAACCGACGAGGAGCGGCGGCGGGAGAGGCGAGACTGGCAGTAGCGAGGTTGGCGCGGCGTCGGCGTTGGTTGCCGAGGGAGAGAGGAAGGGGAAGTGTAGTAAGAGTCGACGACGGTTTGTTTTCGTTCTCTTCCGCGGTTTCTCATCTCTCCTTCCGTTTCCGGGATACACGGACTTTCCCCACCAATACCCCTACTGTTATGCTTGTACGCTCACTCACTCTCCCTCTCGCCCCAAAAACGGACGCCGGTGTTTAGAATTTAACGAAATCACGACGCACGTGTGTTTCTTTTGCCACCCATGTGATAATAATGTTATCACACGAATTTTCTAGTAATAAATAATAATAATAACCGGTAAGCATTGAAAAAAACGTATTACCACATGAATTATGCACGGCGTTGAAAAGGAGACGAATACCTTGAATGTTATCCTGTAGAAACAGAAGTTATCACGTTTATTATAACGTTGCGAACTATAATTCACCGGAAAACAATAATTGTTAATATTTCTCCTTCAATTGGGGTAAATAATAATCGGTCCTTCCTATTCGATATGCCTGTAACGAATATTTGTGAGCAAGGTACGTGGAACGTGTAAACCATTTCTTAAAAATACACCTTTATAAAAAACTACTTTTGCCGGCACTCGAACGCTGTTCCAAACGCATATCGGGCCAACAATCATATATAAAACCTTCTACCCTACGTCCCAGAGTGCCAAATTTGAGTTCTTATCTGGGAACACTCCTGGAGCTGCCAAAGTTCGTAATCGTCGAATTGCCAAACGACGTGGCCCTTGCGCCCAACGCACCGTGGCACCACCATCACCCCTTCTGGCCACTTTTCAATAATAACATCGTTGCCAGCGTTTTCTGGCCAAATTTACAAAGTCCGCCGCCCCCTCCCCGCTCGTGACAGCCAGGACCCGTGTTCGTTTTTAAACGGAAACCTCGGATATTCGGGCCAACACCCGATGCCAAATATTCACAAAGTATGTCTGGAATAAGAGCCAAAAAGCTTAAAATATATACGGGCAGTCCTCTATATTTGCTTTTGATCGGGCATTTACAGTCGCGAATGATATTAAACAAACGCATCTCTCCCCCCTCATTTTTTCCTGATGAATTTAATACCATTTCACACTATATTGTCCAACGGAAAACAATTATAATAACAAAACTCATGTTCAGTACAGCGTATAATAGTATTATATTATATATTATATATTATTATTATTATTATTATTATTATTATTATTATTATTATAAGTCCGCTCTGTAGCTTAATAATTGTATAAGTTTTAACTATTTTCGCTGTTATCAGTCAACTTATTACATACCTAAACTTTGAGCCCCTGATAAGATATTTTTTTTTATCTATGTTAGTATGGCAACCGAAAATCAAAATAATATTGAAATTTCAAAACCAAAACTATTGAGGAAGTTATGTGCCTATTTCTTGGTAATGGTTTTATATTATTATTATGAGACACAGTCATCCGATCTAACAGATATTTTATACAAATTGTTTGTCTCGCTCTTGTTAGAAACTCATCGTTTAATCGTTGTTTCACAAAGTGGAAAAATAATTATTGCTTCGATTTTCATAACGTCCGTACCATTAGATAACGC